CAATTTCACTATCAGCGAAGCGTTGCCATGAAATGTGCAACGCAATCGCAGCTGAAATGCACGCTGACTGTAATTGTTTTCAAGGCTGCTGCAAACAAAAGGCACTTTTCACAGTGCGGTGATTTGCTAATAATGAATAGCAAATTACCATCTTTGCTCTTCATCAAATGCTTGGTGACAACAGATGAAGTGCTGGTGTTGAAAGTAAATGGGATCTGTCACAGGGCATCAAAAGAGAGACAACATGCAGAGAAGCAGTGTGAGAAACTGAAAAGAAAGGCTGACACAGGCGTGGGGAACAACAGCGAGAAAGAAAATGCCAGGACAGCGCAAAAAGCTTTTTATTTAATTATCTGTGAGTCATTCTAGGGATGGATTTGAGATGAGAGTCCTCTGCCCAGTCACAGTCAGATCTTTAGCAATGTGACCATCAGAGCTTTTGCACACGTGAAGTCTGTGAAGGGAAGAGGCCTATTATTCCCGCTAGCAGCTGATCTCTATCACAGCAGGGGTGTTGAGCTATCAGCAAGGTGAGATTTACTCACAGTGCACCACCGTGTCTGAGACTTTCCTGCAGACGATTTTGTGCTCAATAATGCTGGTTTTGTCCTAACAGATTACCTACACTGGGATGACCATAAGCATCCACTTTCACATTAGTGTAGTTACTTACTGGGTGACTTGAGTTGCTTTCTTTCCTTTTTAGAGCCCATCTAGTGCAAACAACACATTTATTTATTTGTTGAGAGATTAATTTGAAATTGCTATAAAAACAAATGTCAAAGTTGTATATACAGCATCTGATGGAAAGCAGGAATAGTTCAGCTCTGGTTTTCTTTGGTACACAACTTAGAGAAGAAATATTTGTTAATGATAAAACATTTGCTTAGTTAAACACACAGACTTTCTGCACAGCTCTTTGCTCCATGCAAATTTACCCAGTTAACTGTAAATGTGAGTTGGAAACAAGGCTTCTCCTATTAAGGTAACAGCAGATTGTTCCAGTCACATTTGAAGAAAATCAGAAAATAACAGCCCTCGCCAACACTTATTCTTACAACAAAACAGTGAATTATCAAGGTAAATAAATTAAGAGATATGCAGAGCAAAGCCCTTATCTGCCTTGGTTTGATGGAAGGTTTGTCACAGAGAAATGCACAATATCAAAACTGCAGAGGCTGTGCACTCTGCACAGCACAGCAGCACAACAGAGGAGCCACATTTACTCCCAGTTCATTTTCTGGACTCCTCTTTCTTTGCTTTTCAGTTGGCACCTCATGCAATGCAACACTGAAATTTAGTCATTCCTCATTAACATTATAGAAATCTGCACATTGTATTAGTTTCAAATGAATAAAATCACCAGATCACTTCACAGACAACTTTATCACTGAGTGGAGTGTAGAGGACTCAAATGCAGTTATTACATTTAGAGGACTGCATTTGAGACATAGCCTGTCTTCCTTGTTTTACAGGAAGACAGGCTATGTAAAACAAAACTAAGCAGTTTAAAGAAAAAAAATCTAAAACGCAAAACAGGAATCCAGACCAGAAACCTATTACAAGCAAACAGACAGTACAGTGGAGCCCAGAGACAAGGACAACTGGGGAGACAGGACTATTTATACAGACTGGGCTGATTAGGGAATGAGAAACAGAAGGAGAACAAAACACAGGTGAGGGTCAAGACAACCATGACAATTACAAAGGAGGAACCAAAGCTGACATAATGTGTGAATACCTGAATACCTTCAAAGTAAAACAGGAAACAAGTAAAAGACAACAAGAAAAATAAGAGTGGATATGTCAGAGGGAGAAACAGACCGCCAACTAATTACAGTAAAGCTCAAAACCCTGGATTACAAAACTGAAAATCCTGAATAAAGCGACCATAAGGTAACTTCAGGAATTACAATACACCAGAATCATAGAAGACTCAAAACAGGGATCCGAAGACGCCACAAACAAGCAAGCAAATATTAAAACATCAAACAGTAAAAAAACAGCAAAATAGAAACCCAAATTTAAACATTAATAAATAATATACACCAAAACCCCAAAATACCACAAAACAAAGAGAAATTCTTCTTTGTAGTTTTAAGAAAATAAAACTACTTTTTTATAAAAATGTTAAAATTAGAAATTAATTAATATCTGATTTGGGAGATAAAGAACCCGCTAAAGTTTATTACTGGAATATGCACTAATGGGGTTAAATATAGACAAAACAAAACAACTTCCACCCTGAAACTTTGGAAAAATGTGATTAACATTATCATGTAAGGAAAAGAAAGAGAAAGAATATAAGCTGAGAAATAATTTGTGTGTTGAAGATAATTTATCTAAAGTTCAGAAGCAGGACTGTACTATTTACCCTGTTGCCAGTGGGACATACAGCTGCATGTTTTTTCCACTTAATGCAGTCTTGGCTTTAAGCACTCTGCCTTCACTATACTCTTCCAGGGGGTCTCAGGCCTGCCCCCTTTCATTTTCCAACAGGGGTCCATTTCAAGGCAGATTTATCTCACTGATAATTTAAGCTTTGATGTTTCAAACATGGTTCACACATTTCATGGCACTGGCCGGATAGTGGTTATGGGTCCTGGATGAGCTTTCATCTGAAGCTGTCATAGTGCCAATAATCTGGTTGGAGTCCTCTGCTGGTACACTGGCTGTTGATGGTGTCCTTATTGCAGTCTCTACAGATGATGGACATGTAAGCATGTCAGGAGAGGGACCACATCCCCAAGTACCCCCCTATGAGTGTAGGAGCAACCACCAATCCTCATGAAGACCTTCCACAGAATGTAGCTTTCAGTCAATCTCATTGCTTTGTTATTGATAAAGGTTGAAATTTCCATTTAATTTTTGCCAGTGAAATTAAGATGAACTGGTTCAGGGGTGAATCTTGTCATATGATCTATAGGTACCATTGTCTTGATAAAGTTTTCAGTAATGTTGGTACCACATATCATATTACCCCTGCCAAATCAGAACCCTAAGCATTTTCTATTGCAGTTGTTCTCAATCTCTATGTTGCTGTAAAATCTTAAAAGTGGCATTAATACAGCTCTAGAAGTGCTCACAAGTTGTCATAGGAAGAGAATACAAGCCCAGTGTGCTGTGTTTCAGTGCATTTGTAAACATGAGCGATGAGTAATAAACCTGGTTTTGATATTCTCTGAATAAAATATGCTTCAGTGAGAATCTGGTATTTGAGGCCAGATGGCCAAAATTTACATTCAAAAACTGCACTCAGTCACTAATTTTAAGCACTTAACCACCGCCTGGAGACCAGCGGCGGGTCAGATAAAAGCTGTCATTACACAACAATGACAGATGATACATTTTTTCCTTTCTCTGAAGAGACATCTGCAATCTGGCCCTTTTATAAAGCAGTAAATTGTGAATCATCCAAACAGCCTGGATGTTTGCAGATGTTTTGTGAAAATGATGGTCGGCGATACAGAGCACACGTCGCAGGATCTGAATACTTTAGGCTTCTCATATTTCTCTAATTTCTGCCTTCTCTGTCCACCGTCTTCCTGTCTGTGACCTGAAAATCAGCCTCGGTACACTACGCTAAAGGATGCCTGAGTTTCTAAAGGCATTTGGAGGATAGAGGAGACAGCAGGAAGACCTATAATTGAGGGTTCACAGGGGTATCTTTGAGGAACTGTATAGCATAGCATATTTAATAGCGTGACACATTACACCTTGTTATGTATTCATTAAAAGTGGCCCTTAATATGAAAAGTGTCCCAAAATGGTTACAGCTGACATCATTTACATGCAACTCTAGCTTGGTCATGATTAAAAAATGCATCATACTGTTGTGTCAAACACCATATTTAACTGACATCACTTTAAAGTAAGGCTCAGAGGTTGGGATCTCTCATTTTGTTAAACTGGTGCTGCTTGATTCTCTTCTTCACCTCTCCTCTTCCTTTCTCTCTTTCAGACCAGTCTCTGTAAATCCTTGAGATGATTTTGTGGGAAAAGTTTGAGTAGATGAGCAGCTTTAAAAATACACAGCCAGCCCCGCTGATATCAAAAACCATACCATGTTCAAAGTCACTTAAATCACTCTTCTTCCCCATTCTTTGTTGCTCATCTTAACCACCTTGATGTGTCTAAATGCACTGACTTGCTGCCACACTCGCTTATCTGCACATTCTCATACACACGCACACCTTCATACATCAAGTTACTTTTTGCACAACCAGCTGTCTTTGTTGTACTTTTCTATTGCACTGTTGTGTCTGCATCGTTTTGTTCTGTCTGGTGTTGCAGTGTTTTTGTTTTGATTTGGGGTTTTTTTTTGTGCAATTTTTGCACACTTGGATTTTATGTAGTCCTGCGTTGATTGGCTGTTATAGGTTACATGTTGCGCCATGATCTTGGAGGAACAGTCTCACTTCACTGTGTACTCTAAATGAAATGAAATGACAATAAAGCCACTTGACTTGGAAAAAAAAAGTGTGATTGGCTAACTAGATATTTGTGTTACCAAGCAGTTGAACAAGTGCAACAAGTGGTTTGACAAGTAGCACTAACATGTAGACTTTAAACAAAGATGGGCACCTGCTCGTCGTCCTGCCGATGAAAACATCTGATTCCAACATCATCTTGAAATTTAATGCCAGTCCTCAAGGTTCACATTATTTTGCCTCTCACAGACATAAATCTGGATTAGTTCTCTAGTTTTAGGATTTGTGTAAACATCTTATGTGTTGCATTTATATAGAAAATGTGCAACCCTGAGCATATTTAAAGTATAAGGTTATGAGTCACTGCTTTGTTTCCACATCTAAAATGACACAAGAGCCACAAACTAAACCGTAATCTGTAGCGCAAAAATGGACTTCCACATGCATGTGTCAAAACATGTATTTATTCATTTATTTAAAAAAAATTAAAATAAAGTGCCTTTTATGTACAATATAATAAAAACAACAGTCACAATCTCAATGATACAAAAAAATACAGTTCACAATGTTATTTGTACACAACAAATAATAATAATAATAACAAAAGAAGAAGAAATCATGCAGGCAAGACCACATTTGTCTAATCGTTATTCAGTCAACTAAGCTTATGATGTTCGATACGCTGAGGCGAGGCTGTCGCCGTCTCATGGCTGAGCTGATATGGAGGATCTGGAGCTGTGCTTGCATCTTGTTCACGTACTATACCATGCAGCACAAATGGTTTATTAATTGTATGATGTCGTTTCTTTGCATTTATGACTGAAGAAATAAAATCCTAAAAAAGATGTTGCAATGGATTGCCTACTTAAGCCATTTTAGGAAAATATACTGCAGTAGGTGTTCTACAAATATATAGTTGGCTACATTCATATCCAGTACAGTATGTTGCATTAATAAGGAGCTACTCAAAACTGTTGTACTACTGTTTGCCTTTTATGGAAAAGGCCCATCATTGATAAATATGCAAAGTTATCACACAGTATATATTTCATCTAAGCTTATTAATTGGCAAGGTCCAACTGCATTTTAACTTCAGCATTTCTAAACGAGATCAGGTGGTGTATTGTTAAATAGGTGACCTCACCAGAGGAAGTGATGCTTCCAGTGTGTACAGCACCATTTTTTTTTTCTTAGATGAGCAAAGGCTGCAGAATGGTACAAGATTTTGAGCAGCTCCCAGTCTAGTTAGCAGGTTAAGTTAATGGTGGCTTAGGTGAATTTGTAAATCTACTGTTGACCCGTGTTGCGTTGTGGAGTTAAACATGCCCACTGAGGGCTACAATCACGCCATTCACCATGTTTGTGTTGGTGAGGTCACTGCTGGGTAGTGTACAATGTGGCACGTGGCTAAAGGCAGAGCAATGTGATATCCAAAGGCATTTTATGCTGTGAAGTTATCCACCAAACAAATCAAAGCAGGCTACCAAGATATCATATAGTTTAGAAAAATCTGTGTTAGCAGAAATGGAAAAACACAAGCCTTCTGGAATCAGTTTCATTCTGGTTATCCATCTGTTGGCAAATGCAATACTCTGGTTTGTTTGCTTGGTCTCAGCTTGCAATAGTTTTGGAAAAGAATATTTGTTTTCTTGCTGAGAGTTAGATAAGATTGATATCGCGCTCGTATTTATGCACTACAGCTAGAAGCCTGATACCCCAGCTTAGCACAAAGTCTGAAAAAAAGGAGGAACCAGCTTGTCTGCTCATACCAGCATATGCAAAGCCAACGGCAGAAAAGACTGCATCTGCTTTTGATAAATAGTCTAAAGCCAAAGTGTTAAAAATTGATACTTTAGGGAACTTTTTAGGCGGACACCTAAAGAACAATTTGTCTAATGGCTACTTGAGGCTGGACCCAAAGATAAGTTGATCCCCATGTCAAAACTCCCAACTTCAAGGCAGAAATAATCATGTTCACAGCCTGGTACAGAAATGACTTCAGTAATTTTCCTTTTTAAATTCCATTAAAATGATATTTATGAAAGTGGCAGCTTGAATGACAGATCAATGCTGACACGGGCGCTTGTAGCTGCTAGCTGTATGCTCGTTGCTCAAATGAGGGGTGTGCTATGAAGGTTATAGTTTCACAGCCATTTTAAGCAAAAAAAAAAAAAAAAAAAATCAGTTTTCAGAATCATAAAGGAGGCTCTCCTTTCACCTGGCTAGATCACTGTGGTAACTTCAGGTGAAAATAGAACCCTAACCTTAATTATACGTTTAAAGTTTCAAGGTAAAATTGTTATTTCATTTATGACATGCTTCAATGTCTGATCTAGATTTTCTGTTGGGAGTCATGCTTTATATAAACAACCTGCTCAATCATTGTAAGTCATTCTTAAACTATCAAGTTTCAGAGTTTGAATGTGCAGCTGTCATATGAGAAATAAACAGCAGCACTGAAACTGCAATAAAAAAAAAATACAAGTTGAGTTTATTCATTTTGCCACTTGGTACCCTTGTGATGATCATGAATTCACAAGATTAACAACTTTTGGATTATTACTGTCATTTTCTTCGCAGCTCTGGTTTAGCAATTTACTGTCATTTTTTAAAATAATAATCTTTAGAGATGTGCCCACTCCTCTCATAATGTGACTGGAGTAGATGTGACTCAGTTGATCCGTTTTGAGTGGAAGAAAAGTCAAATGACACGTGAAAAGCTCCTTTTTGCATGAGCAGAACCTGAAGCAGAGAGCTCGCGGTAACACTGAAAGTTGATAACCATCATTGTGATACTCGTCACCTCTGACGCAGGTTTTAGGTTTTGTGAAGCCCACTAATGCAAAGACTGGCTACGCTGAAGTTGTTTCATAGTTCACAGCCGTGGACCTTTTAATTATGTCTGTGGTGCAATTTGAAGGTTTTAAATGCACCAATAAGACAAAAATTATAAAATGTTAAAATCAAGGCTTCAGAAGAGGGCTTTAAAACCAACGGGTAGACTTGGTCCATCTTTTTTTATTATATACGTTTCATAATGGCAGACTAAGATTACCTTTGGACAAAGACAGAGTTTCTCCCTTTTAATGCTAAGCTAAAGTAACTAACTGGAAGCTGTGGCATCACATTAACTACAGGAAAAAAAAAAAAGATGTTGATCTCTTCATCAAACTTTCATCAGTAGCATGAAAAACCCCCATCTCTGTCCTGCTTTGATGTGCTTGAGTGAAAACTAGTCCAGATGCTAAACTAACAGCGTGGTCAAATGTTTTCTAAATTAGGCAGTAAAGCACTATTAAAGAAGAAGAAAAATAAAATAAAATTTAAAAAATAAAAAAAATCACCAGTGTTCACTCTCTAGTTTCACGACTATCTCTACAACACATCTTGCACAAGGTCCCTTAAAAACACACAATATTAAGCACAGGTACTGTATATACACACACAACAAAAACCTAAGAAACAAAGGAAACACTGACCACTGTTGCGCAGTATGCTGTGCAGTTACTTTGTCAACTTGTAGCAGTTACATAACATTTCATCTGCTCAGTGTTTGAAAAAGCAAAGTTTTGATCCTGCATGACACTGGAATATATATTGTAGGCTTACATAATCAATACAGTGACCTGGTGTTGTAGTCTAAGACATGTGGTGCCATGTTGTCCTTACGGCTGTGTAAATGTTTCTCATTCAGATTTACACAACATGATCGGAGTTCTGCATCTTTGGAAAATTCTGCTCGTTAAGTCTCAAAAGTCTAAGCAATGTGGGTGCGAGAGTGTTTGCGATGGCTGCACTGGTCCCTGTAATAACTGATTACTAAAAATTTTCCTTAGCAGCCATACCGTCCACCTCAGTAGTTGCATTTCTTGGAACAAGCTCTGATTTTAGTGAAATGTGCAAACCTGTAAGTATTCAACACCCTGATTACTTGTGCTTTCACATTTATGTCACCTCGACTTCTGACTGAGTGTGGCGAGTCTGGGACCTGTAACCTGGTGGGGGCGGGGTCAAACTGAGCTAATACAAAAGGTCTGTGTATCTATGCCATGATATCATACAGCTGTAGTCTGGACAAGAGAACTCGCGACATTTCCTTTCCCCTACAGCAGCATTAGTTATTACTTATTCTGTAAGTTTTACATTTCGAGTGGCTTGATTAGCACTTAAAGTAGACAAGCTGAGCTCAACCGTCTCAGATGTGTCTCGGTGAGATGGCAGAAGGAAAACTGGAATATTTTCACACCTGACAACCACATGGCACGTAATCGCCATGTAAAACATTTGGCCCCGGTTCAAAATTTACAACAATTATTTTGCCCAACGCAGTCCGTAAAGTCTGCTATGAGCTAACAGTCTTAGAAATCCCCAACCTTGCACTTTACATTTATTTATTTATTATTAGTGCCACAATACTTTTAGGGAAACCCATTCCCTGGGTCCGTCATCATGTGCTCTTTGACAGTGATCAATGCTAACACAAAGCATGAGATGGGCATGTGAGAATGGCACTATTGCATTTAGATAAGACAAGTTATTTTTGTTTAGCTTTTTTTGGCACAGTGCACAACGATGATTTTGGTGCTGCCCCAAATATGGTGGAGGTGAAGCTGTCCCCATTTCTTTTTGTTCCTTTGCCTCTCTGCACTTGGAATTTCAGTTCCATTAAAACAAAACAAACAAATACGCACACGCACATAAAAAAAAGGGGGCAGCTGTTTTTAAGTCCATTTAGAAACCCATCATGGAATCTGCAGGTCAACACTCAAGAGCAGGGCTGACTCAGATGAGCGAAAATGCAACCGTCTCTCTAAATCATCTGTGGTGCAGTTTTGTTTGAGTGAAACAGACTTTCTCTCGACGACAACATACATTCAGGAGGTAAACGTCAGCATATAGGCGTAGCGTCATATATAATTACACATATTCTATCATCTTAACGTTGCAGTCCTTTTTCATTGAGACAGTGGTGTGGCGTATTCTCCTCCTCCGCTTCAGCTTTCATCTTATTTATCCTCATACAGTCATGACGTTTATTCAGCGAATGGGGACAAATGTGTTTATGACTTGTGTCCATAATCCGTGGATCTTAATGAATATGCATTTCATGTACTATAATACTTCTAAACCTGAACTCTTGGTCACCATGTAGCTGTAGCTTGGCTCTAGTGTGCATAATAACAGACGTGTGGCTGCCACACTCTGCAGAGAATGTGCAAGATTACTCAAACAGGGCTGGGTAAAATATAAATATTTTTAAATTCGCTGTCTGTGGTTGTAATAGTATATGATGTATATCTAGACTAGACAACTTTTTATTGTTGCATACCTAAAAAGACAGTGTGATAAACATTGGAACTAAAAGGTCTTCTGTTTATCTTTTTATTTTATTGTTTTTTTATCCCCCATATTGCCCAGCCTTATGCTCACCCACATATGGTGTTAGTGGCCATGAGAATGACTCCAAGAAAGAAAAAAGTAATGTGTGAGAATTATTCTTAGCAGCTGCCATGGTTCCTGATCCTGGCTCAAACTGGAGTATTGTGCTGCTTCATTTTTTTCTGCCTTACACAGCAAACCGGACCGACCTCTGGCTTCGGAGTGGAAATGACTAAACAAAATGACCTCCACACTGATCACAGAACTAAGATGACAAAAATAAAAGATGTGCTGTGATATAGGAGGATGTCTGGGTCTCCTCTCCTTTGCTCGGTGGCCTGTATCCCTCGTGAAGATACAGGGTGTCGTCGCTTAATGAATGCTGTGCTCTCAGACGATGGAGTCTTTGATCTCAGAGCCTAACCTCACTCTGGGCCGAGGGCAGGTTGGGGAGTATTCCACGTGGCTCTCTTTCAGGTTAAGCGGCCGCCTGTCGGAGGCCTCGGAGAAGCTCTTGCTGTTATCTGGCGAGGACTCGTGTGTCGGCGTGCTGCAGATGTAGTTGTCGTTTAACGTCTGGTAGCCCTTGTGATCTGAAGTAGAAACGGGGATTGTGTTACCGTTAAGCGGTAAACTCTCTGTGGGCTTTCCAACTATCCGTGGCTTCTTCTGCTGCATGTTAGGGCACTCGCCCTGCTTCAGCATGGACTTCATGTGGTCACGGTTCCTGTAGATGACGAACAAGGAGAACACCACGAGGGAGAAGGCCAACAGAGCGCACACCACAATCAGCTCGTTCCAGTACGTCTTCGTATGGACCTGCTCAGAGCGAGACTCGCCAGGCAGGATGATGGTCTCCTCGCGCGTGATGTGAGGCGTGCGGGAGTGACCAATCAGAGTGGTACTCTCCTGGCGTGGTTCTGCCCTCACACAGTAGTTGGCCAACAGCTGGTGGAAGCCCTCCTCTTCTGACCAGCACTGATAGGTCTCAATCCTTTCAGACTGAGCCACAACTACCAGGTTTCCCTCGGGGGTAGCATAGAGGAACTGGCTGGCGCTATCACTGTAACGCCACCTCCTCTGTGCCAGGTTGGACCGCAGCTTACATGGCAGGACTCTAAATGTGTTGGCTGGGATGGTAATGAGCTGACAAGGGGAGCCACCTACAAACAAAAATAAAAGGAATGTTGTTTCAAAACACTGAAACATGCCAGTAATTTGACCAACTGCATACCGACTCGGGATGTAATGAATCTTTTAACCCACAGTTTGGTTCAGACCTCAGCTGAGTAGGGATTGAATAGGGAAAGAAGAAGAAAAACACTTGCGTGATCACTTGATTAATTACTGGCAATTAGCAATAGCATATGTTAAGACCACTAAGCCTATATTTACACACATGCTGTGTAAACCAACACAAAACATCCTTAATAAGACAGACAGAGGACAGAACATCTAACATGAGATTTTGTGTGTTTCTATCACAACTCATCTTGGTTTTATAAACCTGGCAGTCATGATTAAGAAAGTCTCATTTAAAGGTGTAGTTTCACATTCCAAGAATGAGGGGATCAATTAATTTTAAGCTACAGCCAGGACGAGTTAGCTTAGCTCATTAGCTTAGCTCATTAGCTTAGCTCATTAGCTTAGCTTAGACCGACTTGAAGACACAAAGAATATAAACAGAAAGCATGGCTCTTTTCTTATATAATAAAGAGCCACCCATGAAGCTAACAAATTAACACCATATTTCTATTTCTATTTCTTAAATCCATTTAAAATCTTATGTGCATAAAACACATCAGCAAAAACATTTTAGTTTCAACACCATTCAACTATTTTCTGCCACTTATCTGGGTTTGGGTCAGACCTACCTCCCCCTAGCCATCTCCCTCCAGCTTTTACAGGATGACACCGAGGTGTTCCCAATCCATCTTAGAGATCTAATCTCTAGTCTCAGTAGGACATACGGAGAAAACCTCACCTAGCAGGTGTCCAGGAGGCACCCTAGTTGGATACCCAAAATCACCTGAGGGTAGGAATGTTTGCCTTGTTTTCATGTACAGGACTCTCTTCCCCATATTAGACTAGTACAGCACCCGTATCACAGTTGCACCAATCTGTTTCCTGCTCCTCTCTCCCCTTACTTGTGAATAAGACCCTAAAATTCCTCAACTCCTCTATTTGAGGCTACAAGTAATTTCTCAATCAAAGTGGGGAATCCACCTTTTTACAGCTGTGAACCAAAGTCTCAGTCATGGAGGTGCTGATTTTCATACACACCGTTTGAGCCCACGACCCACAGGGAAGAGAAATATGACGTATTGCTGGCATTAAGAACGAAGTTCACACTGTGGTTGTACAGGAACTGGAAAGCCTGCAACAGCTGACCCAATATCCCATACTCCTGAACTACTCCCCACTAGACAAGCTTAGGGGTGTGGTCAAATGACTTTTCCCCAAGTCCAGGAAACCCATGCAGTTATACAAACTCCTACAGACCCATGAATACCGTCAAGTAGACAGATCTAGGATGAAAACTATTGCTTCTCCTGTATCTGAGGTACAAGGTTTAGTAGACAAATTTTTAATCTTTAATCTTTTTTTTTCTGAATGCTGAGCCAATTGTCTTTATATCCATTAAATATAAGCCTGAAGCTCCTACTACAGCACTTTAAATTCAAAACTGGAATTTGGAAAACAACTTGCATGAATATGCAACTTGTTTTTTCTTACAACTGTATGTGCATGACTTGACAGTAGTGGCAACATGTTTTTGTGAACTCTAAGTGCATGCTGTTTGTGCGTGAGGTGACAGACACACTTAAATTAAAGGCCACTGAGCAGAAAGAACACACTCACGAGAAGCTACTGGTCTGGCAGATCTGGGGTTAGGAAGAGTCCTGTTGCAAATAGCTGATGTGTCAGCCTCCTCCACGTCCTGCTGCCAGTGGCTGAGGCAAAACATACCAAACAAAAACAACAGGCAGATGTAATGACAGGCACCTTACATTACATTACTAATGTCTCCTATCGCAATCGCCAAGTCTTTCATTTAAAACTTACTAATACAGTGACTAATGTTGCTCTAAAATTAACACTAAGGGACATAAAGCAGATCCTTGAATGCTTATTTTGTGTGTTTGTTTGGGTAGACGTTCAAAGAAAAAAGCGCATTCGTAGAAAAGACATAAGGTTGAGCAACGAGGAATTTTTATCCTTGCATATTTTCCTGCTTTTAACAGTAAAGGGCACAGTGTAATTATGTCTTCCTCCTGCGTGCTGTAGTTCTCACCTGTCAGGTGGAGCCATCCTGACATCCTGGCACAGTTGTCCGGTCCAGGCGCAGTAAGGGTCTCTGGACAGCACACACTCACCACAGCTCAGGTAGTTGGAGCAGTTAGCTACAGGAACCTCCACCAGGCCAGAGTAAGATGACACAAACAAGAGACCCTGTAGAGGAGGGGGGAGGGGAGGGGGGAGTGCATTTCAGATCTAACTACAATATAAAAGGTAAAAAACATTCTGCTTTTGGTTGCAGAGTAAGACGAAAAATGCTAAACAATTAATTACAACAGAAAAGCATAACCTACACAATGGAGTAGTTCTGACCAGCTGTTCTCTTGATACCATCTGAGGAGCATCTTTAGCACTTTTACTACCTACATCTGTGCATCAGATATGCATTTGCAACATTAATGTTCCTGTCATACTGACGCACGGCTCCCCCTTGTTCCCAAATATACAATCTATATTTAGACCAGCTTTTCTGGCCCTTGTATTAGACAGACACCATAAGCATTCTGTCTTAGCCTTTCATTTCCCTATTTGGAGCTAAGAATACACTCACAAACAGTATCTCAGACTTTATTAGAATTACATAATCTAAGATAAGATTTCAGTTTGGCTGCTCGCCCCGAGAGAGGCCATTATGTAATAAAGAGAGAAAAGGTAATGAAATTTAGCTCTGGGTAAAATGCCAGAGAGGATCATAAACTCCGTTCCAGACGGTGCTATAACTTACAGGAAAACTCAATGGAATGGCCCCTGTGGAAAGAAGATGTCTGAAGCCAGTTTGTGCTCTGATAAAGAGCGCTCTTCCACATTTTCATTAGTTGTAAATTAAACACCAAACATTCGAAAATGGGATAAAGTATTTATTATAAATGGATACAAAGCAACACGGCCACTATGGTTGTATTACGCTGTTATTAAGTTGTAGTAAATCAATTTTACCTTATTTTCTGCTTTAAACACTGCTAATGATCAAGAAGACACCTTCAGAGTCTAAAAATAAAGGCAAGAGAAGAGTGCCAAAAGAAGGGCTAGCTGTTTTAATGTCCACATGATAGCCGGTGAACTTTTAAAAACTCAACCTTTAAAACATTCTTACCATTTAAAGTTAGCTTTGACTGGTGGTTTTGACTGACAGGTGGATGCGGACACAGATGTCTGTATCTCGTGGTCGTTTCTTAGGGTTAAACTCTGTTAACTGAAGCCAGTGAACTTGACCTTTCGACTGCTGTTTGGTGTTTCAGGAGCATTTTTAATAGAATCATACTTTGTGATCAAGTGTACCGTATTTTACACACTATAAAGCACACTTAAAATCCTTTAATTTTGTCAAAAATCGACAGTGCGCCTTATAATCCAGTGTGCCTTACTGACCTTGAATCGATTTTATTCAAGACACTCAAAAATCAGTCAAAAAATGTTTTAGTACGACTTTGGTAAGCTACGAAGCCGCACCAGTTGATGGATTGTCAGAGCATTATGGCTACCGTAGTCAGGAGCCTCGCGGAGTAATCTGGGTCCAAAACACCATCCAGTTCAGGCCCCAAAGTCAAACGAATATTGCGGCATCACTGAGAGTTAAAAACTCTTTAATAAAAAGATCAGTGTGGCTGCTTTACCAGGTGTAACAATTAAGTTTAAGATCCAGGCATCCATGAAAACAGAATTTATTACATTTAGCGGAGTTAGAAGTTAGCGTGAAGTTAGCTCACTAGTTTCCACCTAAACATGATATAGCATGTTCTGACTGAGAGATTTCTGAAAAAATTAAAACGTACAGCTCTGCTATCACTTCCAACATAAAGGAAGACAGAAAACTAAACAGGAGTGACTTTTTTAGGGTTACTGAAGTTGGACTAGCTGTTATATAATGATGTGGTACGTGATCGCTAGCAGCACAGCTAAGTTAGCATAACATAAACACAGTGAAGCTGGAGGATGAACGCTAACTTTTTTTTCCACTCGATTAAAGTTAAGGTGAGGGTTCACGATGGTTAGTGACAAATGCAATCACATGGCAATTCAGTCAGGAGAACAACTGAGACAATCCACCCATAATATGAGGTTAGTCATTAATATAGTGCAACAAAATGGGAATAGAGCAGCTGCGAGAGAATTCAACATTAATGAATCAATGGTACAGGAGTTGAGACAGCAAGAAGAATGAGTTGAGTAAAATTTGACTTATGACTTTGTTTCACTTAGTGCGCCTTATGTATAAACACAGACCCGTTCATAGACAGTGCGCCTTATGGTATGAAAAAAACGGTACTAAACAAAATGAAGTCTGTGGTCTACCTCAGGTGAGTGAAATTTTAGGTTTTTGTTTTATATGTTACTTAACAATAATGACCAGCACCTGTGTACTGATGAGTTCTGCTAAAAAAAGCTTGGCAATGTTAGCTGATAAGCTCTCACTCTCTCTTGTCCTAATATGGTCACAAAAAAACAAAAAACAAAACAAAAACATGGAGGCAGCAAAGACACTAAATTTAACAAATTGGGAGTAGTTATACCCTTGTGGCTATGTTCATTTTTTATATACAGTGTATATGGTAAAGGTGGTGATTTACCCTTTGAGGATCAAGCTCAATGTGCTGCACTGGCTGCGGCTCAGCGAACAGAATCATCTCCTCTATAATGTGCATCTTGTCATTGGCATTGATGGCCTTATGGAGTTTTCCATCATCTGGAAGACACACAGAACAAGCGGAAGTGAGATATATAGTTTTCAGAGGACAGTTTTCTTCTGCTCTGTTTTTGTTCCTATTAAATTAAATGCTTGTAGAATATATTAGGCTCCACCTGTGCCAATAAAGAGCACATCATAAGCTCTCTCCATGCCCTGGATCTTGTGCACAGCGATCTGCGTGTAGCGTACGCTGCGTTTGAGCAGCAGCGGCGTGCTGCGGATCGCGCTGTCCATCAGGAAATGGTCCTTGACAAAGTTGAGCACTTTATCAGGCATGTGCAAGGATGACTGGATTCCCATTTGCCTGGCGTGGTTGGTCACGCACTGTGGGGAGAGTAAATAACAAAAAGAAGAAGAAGAAGAAGAAAAGAAAAAAAAGAATCTCTGCTTATTATTTGAGCAGTACTGAAAAATGGATACAATACGATGGGGTGTTGAATTACATCTGACCTTGGCTTTAATTACTTAAGAACACAGAAATGAAAATGGAATCAGTGAGATAAGGAGCTTAAAACTACCACATTGGCTGATGGGTTTAATCATGTTCTTAAGCTGTATGTTCTATTTTTATGCTCCGAGGCATTTCTTTGGCTCTCGTACAACCCACAGCAGGACAGTACTTTCTGTTTTCCAGCAGACAAAGAAAATAAATGGGGAACATCTGCTTCACGTCAGACTTGTTCAACAGCCTAAAATAACACTACAGGTAGGACGGGATGTTTTGTTGGTGTGTTTAATATAGCTTTTGTACACATGACAACAAAGACAGCTCTTTATCCTCATTTATCTGTTACTGAATGAAGAGCCACAGAAAGAAGTTGTGTCTTGTTGCAGTGAATTGCACTGTTTGTCATAAGATATGGCCTTCACAACTCACCGCCCCAGGCCGTGGTTCTGGTACAGGGTGGTTGTAGGTGTACCACTGCTGTGTCTCCCTGTTAACTTCTCTGTAGCGCCCGCTGAAGGCTTTTTTCACCTGCTCCATAGTGAAGGCACAGACCGCGGAGCTTCCCGAGGCGCCTTTATACCTGTAAACGTATTAATGAGGATGTAAGGGTTTCAGCTGTGAACAACTGGTCAATGAACCAAAATGTTAACCTATCAGAACTCGACATCACACAATTTTCCACATGTTCTGAGATTTTTTTTGCAACTGCCATGATTTTATTCAAGAAACTGGAATGGCAGTTTCTCAATGGAGAACAGTTGCAGAGTGGGCGCATGAGCGATTTCCTTATTAAAACCTTTATTTTGTTGATACATTAACTAACCATTGGGATCACATTGGCTCGTATCAGCAGTTAAGCACATTACAGCTGCTCTAAATTCAGAGGAGCCAAGTGAAAAACAACAACTTGCCAAGTGTGAGCGCAGATATTAAATAAAAACTGGCTCTAGATGGGGTGTGTGCGAGCCGCGCTTGTGTGTAAACTTTGACTGTAACAGTGTGACAAATCACAGTGTGTGTGCGCGATTTATGTCACTGTCACAGCTGACATACAGCACTGTCACAGTCTCAACCATCGCCTGCATTTGAGTCGTACCACTGAGAAGTGAAGACGCCGTAGAACACTGTGCTCTCCCAGCTGTCTCCCGTGGGCTTCAGGACAAACATGTCTTGGATAATGTTGAAGGGGAAGCCGTCATCGGGGAGGGAACACAGGAGCTGAGCCTTCAGGAAGGTAGTCCACTTTTTTTGCAGGACTCGCTCACCCCCTTTATCACCCTGGAAAAAAAAAAAAAAGGAAAAAAAAAGATTCAGCAAGTTTATTAGAGGACTTTATGTCCTTGTAATAATTTTCATTAGATTCAGAATCAGAATCAGAATGGGGTTTTATTGCCAGATGTTGAGGTTTACAACATAAGGAAATTGCTGCGGTGCTTCAGTGCAAACAATAAGAATTAAAGTGCTATGTAGAAAGAAAGATATGTGCATGAGATATACATGAGATATATACATGAGAATAAGAATTATGAGTGCTACGTAGATTCTGGCAGGGGTTGCAATGGTTGTACAAGTCTGTACTTATTTTTGGACTTGAGTTGATAAAAAGTGTTACTTAATTATGACTGCATTATTCTGATATCTCCAGTTCATCTGAAGAAACCTTAAACATTTCACTAGAATCCTTTAACCAGGCTTTAACAACAGACAGCTGCACAAAGCTACCAGCAAAGACAACATGAGCACATGGTTAGATAGGATATCATTACATAACGCAAGTATCTATTTCACAACTACAATTACACATCACAAAATAAATAAAACACAAGACGACTACATAAAGACAAAAAACGCCCCGTAAAAAAAAGAAAAAAGCCACAATCTCAAAGTGATCCCTTCATGTGTCACATGACTGTGACATAATCCTCCTGGTTTGTTTGGGTTTACTTTTCTAATTTTTTACAATATCTGTGTCATACTGACGCTTCTATCATTGATGTGTGAAGAATGTACGAAGGTGGAGGCAGGTTTGGTGGAGCATGTGGATATTTGGCTTACAAATGTGTTTTCTCCATGAGATAATCATGGAACACGCTGATATCTTGCGATAAAAGCAGGAGGAGTGCAGAGTAGTTGAGTTCAGAAGGTCAGAGCTGTGGCAAAATCTGGGAGTTCAACTTTGCTATGACTAAAATCTGCTTTTAGCTGGAAAGGCTGTGGCTGTGGCAGGAAGGGAGGACACCATGGGCTTTGAGTCAGCTCTGGACCAGGAGCCTTACAGAACCCGGCCCGAGTACACCTAAGAGCTCAAGTGGATTTTAAATTTGCTGTCAGAAGCATGAAAAAGCAAATAAACCAGATAGCAAACAATGCTCTATATGAACCACAAAAACTTTCCCTAGAAAAACTTTTATAAATCATTTAAAAGCTAAGAGCAAACTGCATTAAGTTCCCTAGATGAGTGAAAACAGCCCCAAACTGTCAGATCATGAAGGCCAAACATTCCAGTGAAATTACTGAAGGGACTTAAAATATGTTGCGATGTAGGAGCTCCTTGAAAAGGCACACATTACTTTGGAGCCCATGTTTTGCATCGCAGTTGCAATCCATCCCCTTTGCTTCAGAGGGTGCTGTTGAGAAACGGAAGATGCTCATGACCCTCCTTTTTATTTATTTTTTAAAGCATTTTAACAATAAAATATGCAACACAGAGAAAACAAAAAAAAACCTGCTCTGCATAAAAGATGCCACAGCATAAAATATCAGCTCCCCTTTGAAGGAGAGAGCATAGCGAAATAGAAAAACAAACAATGGTTAGTTATTAATTACAGCTTTGAAATAAAGATCAGTCCTTCATGCCTGACTTCACCTGCAGCTCACAGACAAGGCGTTTGCTCTTCTTTCAAGCTGTCACAAAATATTCCCATAAATACTTATCAGAGTTTTCTAGGACTAGCAATTATCAAAGTGCTTGTAAACACACACCAAAAGGAACTCCTCCCAAATACAGCGAGCAAGCTTGAAAACACTAGAGGAGCACGACTAGGAGGAAGGGGAGGAAGAGCAGGACCGAAAACAAGGGACCTCGCCCATGCTCAAGACAGCTTTCCTCCCTCAAATCCAAATGTTTCCGTCAGCATGGTCCCCCAAACCCAGAACAACTCCTAAATAACCACACAAGGAGTGAGGAGGTAATAAAGTGCAAAACTATAACTACCTCCGTTTCCTCCTCCATGTGCTGTCACACGCACAAACAATCACATTGCTCAAGAGTGAGGTGAAGCCACCCTCGTGGGAATGATGTAGGGCCTGGGAGCCAATTACTAAGCTGAGGTAGTAGCCCGTCCACATAATGAGGAGACCACATTCCTGCTCTCTCAGCTGTCCACTGCTATTGTTGCCGTGCTCCGATGCACAGCTTGTACAATCGCATCGACCACTCCCCTCTGATAGCTGCCCTCTGAAAATAAACCCGCTTCCTTGTGCGGCATTAGCCGACTCTCATAGTATTTATTACATCCAAGATTCTCATCAACCTGAGATGTAATAGATCACCAGGTAAAGAAAATTGCGCCATGCAGTATTTATAACATGCCCACTTTTCACAGCCCTTCAGAGCGCACACCTGAATAAACAAAAGAAAGGAGGAGGGCAAGAAGGGAGTGGGGGCAGATCGGAAAGACTGGGAGAAGGAAAAAAGTAGTAGAATAAGTAGAATTATTTGGAAAATGTAAGTAAAACAGTAGTTAGAATACCATTAAATTAATCTTATCTTTTTTTTTTTTTTTTTTTATCTTATCTAACAAGAAACATACTCTCTTTTTCTAAGTGTCCGTCAAGATAAACTATGACACGCAACATGGTTTTGATATATTAAATAAAACCGCATACCAACATATCAGGACTTGGCCTGACACAGAAAGAAAAGGGAGTGCGTGTTTTCTGACAGTTTGCAAAAGTGCATTAGATTTGGAGCCTGCCAAAAGGGAGGGGTCTTCATACCTCAGCTTTACTTAATCTGAGTTTAGCACTCACTCCTCAGCAGAGGAGCACACAAGACACACATTTATATGTGATACACTGACATAAAAAAAGAAAAGAAAAAAAAAAGTGGGAATTTTTGTGCCAGTCTTGATTTAGTCTTAGATTTTCTCTACTAAAGACACTTCCAACTGTGAGGTGCACCTTCCTAAGGGGTCATGGGAGAGGCAGGGATACTACACATGGTGAAAGGAACAGCTGCTTACTATCATTCTCAAAACAACAGGGAGCGTGTTCTACACTGTGGCCGCCGAGATCACTGCTCACCTATGCAGTTCACACACAGCTCACAGAGGCAATTAAACCCTCATATGCCACAGTGACACAATTTCCAATCAAATATTGAGTCTTATACCTCAAATCTGAACATGTACAAAATATTTTTATATTCAGAGTGAATGACCGTTTCAGAGAACTTTATTATCTCAGAGGTCTCCTGTAAAAAAACAAGTGTAAATCTGTCATCTTAGGTTAGGAATCTAGCAATAGTTGTTTGTACATGCATAAATATTTTGCATTGGAAACATGACTGCAAATAGCTGGCAAGGCCTTTAGTGAAGCCAAGACGCCAAGAAACAAGGATTTTTCCTCTTTTTAAAACATGCTTTAAGTGGTCCTATATTTCTTTATTTATACTGTTGGACAGTATAAACATAGCCGCCATTTCCAGGTCAGCGGCTATACAAGTAATCCCTGTGAATCACTGGCTCAGACTTTAGACTCCTCAATCTTGACGCGAGTGGATGCCCCTAATGTGGTCATCTCAGCCGCAGAAGCTCCACCCATCTGCTATTCAAACATCTGTTTGGGAAGGGCAGCCAATCAGAAGTAAGTTGACTTTAAGGAAAGATGGCCTTTTAAAAAAAGGGAGAGGAACTAGAGTAAAAATGTGGTGCTGTAAATAATCGGGCCACCTAAGATACAAAAAAAAGAAAGAAAAAAGAAAATGCAAATCACGTATTGATGCATTATTTACCCTGTAAAATGGGTAATAAACCACAAGCAGCACTACCATATTGCTATAGAAGAGCTTCTATTGAAAAGATGTCAGAAAGTGAAAAGGGAGCTGCTGCATTCCTGTGAAATAATGGTGCTTTACAGAGCAGAGAAAGCTATTCTTCTGTCTCTATTGCACAGTTCATCTGCAGCAAGTTGCCACAGTCTGGGGGCACTTCTGTCAATGATTTCCATATATAGAACTCAGGAGGTGCTCTGCCGGCAGCACGAGGTGTCGCCGCACTGAGTTCCAGAGCCTAGTAGGACTAAGTCATTAAGCTGTCACTTAAGATTACATGCTGTCCCCACGATTACTCACATTACTGCCTCCATGAACAAGAGACATCAGTCAGGTAGGGACGCTGAGTGCATGTATATCATGCAGCTTCATAGCCTTTTAACTGATCTGACGACAGGTGAAAGGGAATGGAGTTTGTGGCTGATTACCCAGGCTGATCAACCAAACTGGACTCTCGAGGAGAGAAGCGGACGGAGGAGGAATGACGTCAATGGTTTAAATGATCCCAGTGAATTCTGCAGTTGCTACAGTTTGCATGCAAGAAAACAGGCCATATAGTAGGGTGGAAGAAGCATTTCATATTGCTGTGAAGCACTCTTGAATACTAATAATGCCTGCAAAGCTCAAAGGGCTGGCGGAGGAACGGCAAGGAGCTGGAGGGATGGACGAGTGCAGCTGACATTGTGAGGGAGATGGAAGGAGAGTGGGATATGACATTGCAGAGAAAGGGGAGGGAGGGAGCCTGAGATGAGGCAATGATTCAGGCAAGGGGAAACTATATCTGCTGAAAACATGCCTGTACAGTTAAATAGAGAAAAGTTTAAATGCACCAGTGACATGTTTCCATTGCAATTACTCAGGCATAATATACAGTTAATGTTACCTAATGTGCTTTGACATGGGAGTGTCCCATCTTGTTTTGAGGCAATTGTGCCAGGATTAAGGACAGGAAGCTTGAGCCCTGCTGTGCCTCATACTTTTGCGTGATCATTTTGTGTAATCGCCTCACCCTTACCCCGTGTACATTACCTTACACACGCGAGCAATCCTCGACACTATGGTGTTGTCAAAGAAGTCAAATTCTTTTCCCGCCTCACTAAAGAAGAAGTAAATCTTGTCGTCGTCGCCCACAGAGTTGCCTATAGGCTGACTCTCCTCGATGTAAGCTGACCCAACAAAGACGGGATCTGTTAGAGATAGAAAAACACAAAAGCAAACGTGTGGTTAGACAGCTGCGTTGCACCTTTATAATCGACACAAGGGAACCTTTCCCCCCCCCCCACTTTTTTCTGCCATGATAAATTTGGAAAAAGTCAGTGTCTGCACCAACAAGCTGTGATACAATCCTGCAAGGGAAGAGGAAACAGAATCCTCTTTATAATTGTACTCAGATGCCTCATCAGGAGCAGTCTGCATGAATTACCTAAAGATCAGAAGACAAGAGGAGTCTTAATTGTGCGCAAAGTGCAGCTTACTCTGGCGAAAGCAGTGGCAGCCGGATGAGGTTGTTTTGATGTGCATGTGCAACGGCTGATAGGCTGGGCTCCCGCAATCTACAAGCGCTTGTCTTTGCTCTCCGTCTGCATGCATTAGTGAATGTGCCTCGCTAATGATCGCTGCTTTTTGGAGCTTATCTGCAGTGGTCGGTACATAATGGAAGATTTGTGGAAGGAAAAAACACATGGGAGTTTACCTTGCAGCCATTTTAAGGAGTTCTCTGTCTTCAGAGCAGTTCCCTGACCCAAACTCTTGTAAATGACTGGTTCATTCCCTTGAAAGTTACTAACAGTACCAGTATATAATTCACCATCTGGAGGAGAACAAAGGAAGAGAAAGATTGAACTGAATTTGGAATCAATAAAAATAACACATGACAAAGAAATAATAACAGGCTGGAGTTGAAGTCGGTAATAAAGTGAAATGTTAGCACATAACAGTCTGAGTGAGAATAGACAAATCATTTCTCCTCTTCATATCCAGTTCAATTATTTACTAATTGCTTGTTAAAGAAGTTGAACAAAAACAATGTCTGCTGCTGTCTGGCTATTTATCAGAGAGTCTGACGCAGACAAACAACATTAGCAGGCACATCATGACTCATTACTGAATCAAAGATGGAGTTGCCATCAAAATAGTTTCAGAAACAGCTGCGCCCGCTTTCCCCGTCTAAAAGGAAGCCATTCATATAAGTGCGCATTAATACATACCAACAATGATGGCAGTTGATTTATACTCTGGATTAAAGGGGCAGCGACTGCGCCCATCTTCCATCATGACCTCGCCCTCTTCATCTCTCTCCAGTGTGAATGTTGACGTATTCTGGAGGCAGACACAAACAGCAAATGTCCCTGAGGCTCAGGCCAATTAAATTCTACTTATAGTAAAATGGTGAGTTAAAGTGAGCTCAGTGGTCTCAAGATCATTTTCTCCATCACAATACACGCTGACATTTTGGATGTTTGGTCGCTTGAAATCGCTGTCGGACCATTGACGGGCTGTCTGATTAATAGAAGGTTTCTTCTGTGTACCCTCTGTCACAAGCAAACAGGCTATTTCATTAGTATGAAAATGAAAACTATATCTAATGTACCAACCAACTTTAAAGAAAGAGACAGTAAATCAAAAATCTCACAAAACTGGACAATAAAGGCATCTTACCAAAAGATTAACCTTCGTAGCAGAGTGCTGACATTTTATTGCTGTTGAGCTGTTGTCTAAAAAAAACATCACTGAGCTGCACTTTGCCTTCATTACTGTGAACACGGCTACCATACTTTATCCTCAGCTCTACTTCCATAAATATTCGCTAATCCCTTGCTCCAAATATTCCCTGAAACATTTCCGACATGGGTCGAGAGGCATGCTTTTCCAAATTCTGCAGTGACCAGCTATTCTGGCAAATTTTGCTTTAAAAAAAACAAAAAAAACCAAACACACAACATAAAATTTTGATTTACATCATAAGCAGGTACACGTGAATTTAGAGCCGTGTGCCAGAGATAGCAAAGGCAGAAAATCATTTTGACTCAAACACAAACGATTCATTTATTGTAGAAATATACTTTATTTATCCATCTTCCAGTATTTCTCATCATTTCTGATTTTAATTTCACAGTCTCTCCCAAAAATACTTGAATACTTAATACAAAAACAAAACCATAAATAATATGAAGAAGCTTCTCGGAGGAGAGGTGAAACCCTCAAGAAACTCCAACAAGTCCAGTTGCTTTTCTTTCCAACCTCTTAGAGAAACATAAATAATACACACGTGAAACAGTTACTGAACTTCCACTGAAGTCTGACTTCAACAAAACAAGCCTGTATCTTTTATATGTTTCAGTATTTTTAGTCCCATTTTGAGTTTCCACAGACATTTCTTTAAAACCCTCAGTCAAATAAGTCTAGAAACTCATCAAAGATCTTCTTCCAGTCACAGGTCACTGGAGAAAAATCTGTATTCCTGACTGGTTGGTGAGTGGTTTTCTGGAAGCTGCTGCCAATTGCAAGCTAAAATTGTTTACCAAAAAACTGCTTAAGATTGCTTTGGCTGCTAGCAGGTTGTTGCAGTCGTCCTTAATTTGAATGGACTTGCCTGCAAACATTTCTCGAGTACTAGTGAAACTCGAAAAAAATTCAATGCAAACCATGAATGGAGAATGTTCCCCTTCCCCTTGGCAGTTGGGCACTCACACTGGCCTTCAGGCTTATTTGACTGAGGCCTTATCAAAGAATGGTTTGGTATGAAAAACATACTGGTCAGACTCTGTTCCCAGTGCATGTATATTACAAACTTCTGCAGCCAGCGAGACCGTGGATGCTTTTACAAGTTAAATAAGATGTCATCATGTTGTCCTGTTAGGAAGTGACTTTCAGTGATTGGACATGTCAAATTCCAATAGCCCATGAGGTCCAATCAAAATGGACAACTTTTGCTGTGGGTGATAGACACTGCACTGAATCAAAATGCAGTCAGTCTATCAGGCTTTAGCCGGTGCCTTTTCAAAAGCCTGACAAAGGGAGCGAGAACAGTGAATTACAAGAAAATATATGGAGGACAATTGACATTTCCACTGCTACACACTGTGGTCTGCTCTGTGTAAGGGAAAAAGTGACAGCATGTTGGCTAATCAGAAAGCGTGCATCGTGACGCTTTCATTTGAAGCGTTAGAATCGCGTCCAACACTTGCACATGCATTTGGAAGACATGTCGATAAAACACTGAATAGCCTCAGACTTGTATCAAGAGCGCGTGGCATAAGTTTATGCACTAAATCTAAATGTAGCTGGTCCGTCAGACAGCATTCGGCCTTGTTTGTCTGAGCTTCTAGTCCTGTTTGATAAAGCTGACAGAGGGTATGAGGACACTGAATCACAGAATACATATATGGAGAGCAATTGCAGTTTCCACTGCTACACACTGGTCTGGCTAATCAAAGTGAGCTTCTCATGAGGTCTTCATTGTGAACAGTTTTAGAGCCTCGAGTACTCTGAGGTCTTAAGGCTGCAAAAGCTTGAGCTTAACTTTGTAATACATTTTTACACAGGAAGAGGATGGAAGATTTTCCATTCCCATCACTTCATTTATATAGTTTTAAAAAAGAGATTCCTCTGCTGCCACACAGCAAGAACAATTACATCTATCGTTAAAGCATTTAATGCACACATGGGAATAGGATTATTGTCACAGGACACATAAATAATATATAAAGACAATTTGCAGTGATGATATTAACTTTAATCAAAAAGGACAGCACGGAGTTCCTCTGTTGCTGAGAAATATTCCCATGCTTCTTTATTATTAGATGTTGTTTTAATCTTAAGCTTGTTTAAACTTGTGTCTTTCATTTGATTGTTACTGTATCTTTTTGGCTGACCATAAAATGTTCTGTGAGAAGTGGTAAAACAATAAATAAATAAAACATCCCTCACTGGTAATACTATACATCTCAGATCGTCTGGCCGCGAGGAATGCCCTGGGTGACACACAGAGTTGTGGACTCCGTCAACAAGACGAGTGTTCACCCAGACCAACTCAGACTTGCTTGGAATCCCAGATCAGGGCCTAACGTCCTGCCAAGCGATCCTCAGTCTGAGACTCTGACGTCAAAGGGCAGAGTTTAATGCCCTGCTTTGAGAAGCTGCGCTGTTGCCAAACTCTACTGCCGGTTGCCATCACTCCAAAATGTACTCCTCTGCTAGATAAACAGACCTACTGCTTCCCCTCTATCTGGAAACCACACAGCTCGTGTACCCCCTGTTGACTTGTCTGGCTCAAGTGCCTCAACAGGATTTGGTAACGCTTGGATAACAACAGATCCAATACTGACATGGTGGATAAAGGGGGCTTGATTCCTAAAGAGTACCCCGAAAAAATATTTATAAAATTCAATCCTGTTCTTGTGAGAGGAGAGGAATGGAATAAATTAAGACTCGCTTTAATGATGGGAGAAAATCAAGTCTTGCAGGTGAACAATGGGTAGATTGAGAGGTCATTACTTACTATGTAGGCGCAGACAGGACTGAAGGCATAGGTGCCACACACATAGAGATGAGTGCTATTCAGCCGCAGAAGAATTTTGACGTAATTGAAGCAATCAGTCTGGAGAGAATAAATGGAGAGCGTGTCAGGTCCATAAAAATCACAAGAAATTCTGAGAATTGAATGTGATCTTCTCGAGAGCCCCTTAAAAATCTGCCTATAATACTCCTAATCATAAGCAAATCTTTCAGAGCAGGAAATGTAAATATTATTCGACAGAAACAGAAAAATATTCCTCCTCTCCTCAAATACTGCTGGGAAAACCTCACACACAGCACTTTGCCTGGTGAGTTTTTTGTATTACACAAACCAGAGATTTACACAGATTACTGAGGCTTGTCGCCCAGAGATACAACAGCTGGCATGACAACAAGGTAAGAGACAGACAGAAGAAGAAGAAAGAGCAATTCCCCAGTGAGCCTGCACACTTGATGAATCCATTTGTAACTGATGGAAAGGTTTGTCAACACACAGCTCCACCGTAATTTCTCCCCCCCTTACAACACTGCTCAAACAAACAGAAGAAAATGTCTCTCACCTCCAGGTTCTTCCCTTTGAAGCTACACTCGTCTCTTTTTCCAGCAGGAGTGCCCCATGTCAGCTGAAGCAGAGAAAGAAACCCTGAATAAGTCATGTGATAGATAGTGGAAACCCACAGATTCAGAGCCAATCTATAGAGAGCATATCCACTTCCACTGTACTAAAATGGGCTTCGATATGCATGGAGTGCTTTTAAGATCGTCCTCGATTGGTTGCCAAAATATTATTTTTACCTGATTTTAGAGAAGAGTTTGATTTTATGCTGAAATCCAAATGAAAACACTAGTGACATCATTTCATCTACTCTTAGAGAGAGGTCGACTTTGTCTATAAAAGAGTTCTGTTATTGTACGCTGACTGGTTAAGGACTAACGACAAGACGTACTCCCTTAATGGCACCCGCTGTCAAACAATAACTGTGGCAGATCAAACAAAACAGAAACTCAAATGTGTGCATAAAGCTGTGCTTGTGTCTGACGCATCGGCCACTGCTCGCACAAACTGTGACGTCTGCACATCACCATAACTGTTTATGTTTGCGCTCAAAGTTTTTATGACTCGCTGCAGTCGTCTAAACTGTGAGCGTCGCTGCTCTGAGAAAAGTCACCGATTCATGGCAACAGAAGTCCAAATAGTAAAGAGACTGAGCAGGTGTTTCCACACTTTTTTTTAAAACTTTAATTTAACTTTATCTACTCTCTTGACTATATTAAAAAAAAATATGGTGAAAATTGCCAGGATTTATTTATTTAACACCATTGGCCTACAGCTCAAATTAATGACAAGTCCATAAAGTGGTAATTCAGAGCTTTAGATATTCTCCCTGAACTATCTACCAGCAAAGTTTGTCACATGTGCGAGCCTGGTGAACCAGCAATTCGTGTTTTAAACATGCAATTTGGACTCGGATGAGGCATTTGGCATTTTGTTACACTCACGTTCTTCTGCAGCTTGATTTTGCTGATGTCTGAGAGGCTGAGGGCGAACAGTGCCTCCCTGGCTCCCACATACAGCATGTCGTCTTCCTGGCTGAGCAGCAGAGAGGTGTAATTAAAGACGCCGTTTGCCGAGAACCTCTTAGCTGATCTTTCCTTTGCATCTGGAAAAAGACGACACACACACACACACGCACACACGCGCACACGCACACGCACACACACACACACACACACAGCAGAACAGAAAGGAACAGATTAGTACAGAACATGTCCTGATGCTTAAAGCACAGAAAAAAAATGACTGATCTGATTTTATTTTAAGGAGGGGGGCTTTTAAGTCCATGCACTCAGTAGCACTTAATCATGGACACCTGTTTAACCCAGAACTGTCAGTCAACCCCTGCAGAACACCATGACATGTATCCCGCTTTTCTGCAGGCCTCTGACATTCAAATTCCAACCTGAGATGAGCAGAAGACAACTGTTCCTTAAGCTGACAGGAACTTCTGTTTTAGCACTCCAAAAAACTGAGAATCTCAAGGTTACATAAAGAACCACAAACCAAAACTACAGCCAACATTTGCTTGCGAGATTCAGTCAAATTAATTTTATGACACACAATGTGAACTCTTATCAAACCTGTCTTCCTTGAGCCTCACTCTTGGAGGCGGCCGTCTTCTTCGCTTCTTTAGTCGCAGCCACCAGCTTCTCCATGAGAAGACACACACCACTGAGCCACGTCTACGCTTCTCTGTGCTGGCCGACCCCCTTTTCGTTCGAATCATTACTGGCAGCGGGGTAAAAGCTTCCTCTGCTCAACACTAATCTAAATCTCCCTGATTCTGCAGCTTCTTCAAAAAGATCTCTTAAGCAGTGGGCCAGAAGTCAAATGAGCTACTTTTTCCCCACATTGCTCGATTTCCTGCAGCTTCAAATGATTCTTCTGATTAAATACAGACTTTATGTACACATTGCTCCTTTTATAGCATTTCCCTTAGCATCACAGAGGACTCAGTGTTCTCAATAGTGGCATCAGAAGCTTTTTACTGCTTTCTACTGTGAAGAGGATTGGATTCATTTTTGGAGACAGCTTTTATAGGCAGCGGGAGGTCTGACAATTGGTCACTTTTCGCTTGGACTAACCGTATAATACACTTCAAACAGACCAAATATAAAAGCAAAACAAAACCCAATAAAGTGTTTTATTCAAGACTTTCAGGGTTTGGGCAAATCACAATCAAGTGGGGCCCATCTTTTTGTAGATGAATGTTATTGCGTCATATTTGACATTCGTTTTCTCAGCTCAGAAAAGCTGACCAAGTGCGTGTAATATAAGATCAGTGCATTCTCTGCCTACACGCATCCCACTCTTTGCAGCTTTTGACCATCTTTGTAAATGTTTATCTCGTGCCTCCCGTTCCAAACATATTAAAACACACTCTGTGTCCTTTGCGAGCCAAAACACTGGAGGTCACGGACTCCATTTGCTTGTCCAAATAAGATTACTGGCTCGAATCTGAGGTCGTAAACACTAATATTTGCTGCTGTTAAACCATTTACAGCCTTTTCCACATGTATAACCAGTAAGCTGGATTCAAATTTAGACACTTCTGACAGAAAGAAAAAAAAAAAAAAAAAAAAAAAAAAGACACCAGCAAGAAGTTTTCCGTCAACACTACCAGGTGGTGCATTGGCCCATAATGCAAATGGAGCTGATAAAGCTGCAATAAATGTTTACAACCCTACAACCCATGACTTAAACTTTTCAATATGCTCACAAACAAATGGTTCATCTAACACTCAAGGCACTTTGGCAGATGATGGTCTTCCCCTTGTGGGAGTGAAAGCCAGCTGCACAAGCCACATCTTGTCCACAATCAATGTTTAGGCTCTTTCTGCTGTTACAGTGCTCGTTCTGTTGAAAACATTGTGACATCTGGAGTCAATGGAGACCAGGGTCCCATCATTAAAATTATGGGGAGGGGATACAAAATAATTATAATAATAAAAGCATATTTCCTATAGTCATGCAGGTGTCCTTCTGGACAGGAAGAAATTGAATTTTTCCTGTAAAGAGAATGAAAAACTGGTTTTATTTCAGGGTAAATTAAATGTGCTAAAATATCCTTAAATGCTCATAAAGTGAGGTACACTCAGTCCCAGCAGACCCTGCAGACAAAGGAGTGCAATGTCTCCTCTCAACAGGGGGACATATCATAGATTGCGATTGTCAGGATTCCCCTGGGTTTTGGACATTCACTAGAACCAAAAAACAGCCCTTCCACCGCATATTAAAACTCCCTGACATAAATCACAGTGACAATCTCTTAGACAGACAATGGAATAATGAGCAAGGGGGAGGGCAAAGTCATGAAACTTTTACTCTGGAAGCAGGATGAGGCAACTTAGCAGGAGGTTGGGTTTGAGGTTGGGGTACTGAGTGGGAGTTGTGGTAACCAGGAAGACTGGATTGAGATGTTGAACTATGAAGAAACATGCAGACGGAGGAAAGAGAGCTTATTTTCAAAGCACTTTGAGATGGATTTCTGATAAGAGCAGAAGGTCAAGTAGTAACAAATGTCAGAGTTGTGTCAAGCTGCAGGGATTTCAGAAAGAAAAACCAAAGCTCCTCCCTTCAGAGGCTGGTTTTTGAGGGAGATTTCTGAAGTTTACGATGCAGTAGATCGCTTGTGTGTTTTGACATGATTGCAGCAGAACACCGGGCATCCACAGACAGCAGCAGCAACTGCAGGTCATTTCACAGCCAGGCTCCAGTTCCATTCATCACCCGCTTGTTTAATCAGCTGGCTGTCACCAAGTGAGGCCATCAACCTCTGCCAATGGTCATCACATCACACCTACCAGCAATAGAACTGTTTTATTCCTGGTGTTAACATGCTGAATTAGTTAGCAGGTTCTCTGAATTCCAACATGGAAGTCAAATAAGGTGATTTGCCTGAATTCTCCATGGTTATGGAGAGTGCAGAACAAGGTCTGCATGCAGCACTAACACAGCATCCAAGAGCCCGATGTCTCGTCTCCACTGAGACTTAATCACCTCCCAGTTATTAATTATGTGGAATTCAATTTTGCAAGCGTATTAAATGTATTTATTCACTGTGATTTTCTTCATTTCACTGGAGTTAGAGATGGCAGGAAGAAATCAGATCACAGAGGATTTCAGCAAACAGATGCTTTGTGATTACGGAACTGTTTGCTTGAGAGTCAGGGAATCAAACTAATTCTGTGCGCACACAATGAGTGGCTACATACGTCATGAATTTAAGAAGAGATTTGTAAGCCAGCCAATGCAAATGCATATCCTCCTATTTTTCATATATTAAATGTGTTTATGGAGGGGATTTAATATTTTCTAATATGTATATAAGCCTATAGATATGAATTCCAGTGTGCACAACCGAGCCTAAAATGCGATGTGTGTATGTGAATGTTGCAATGTGAGCAGTGTTTACTGGTTTCAATAAGTGCTTGTCTGCTTGGAGGAAAAGCTGAAAAGGCAAGTAGTACTGGAGCATAGCCCCCCCCCAAACATACCTATATTATATACATAGCTATTGAGACATCACCTCTGATTTCTATAGTCCAATTTTGAACCCTTGAGATGCTGTTTCTAATGTCATCATTGTGGTTGCAAGAAAGTGGATGTCACAAGGAGGGGTGCGTCTGACCGTGTTCCTCATTGGCTAATGGATTTCAGGCACTTCTGAGTTGGCTTCAAAAGTCCATTGGTCTGCCAGGATTTAAATATGCTGGCCTGCTTTGACCTACCACCACGGGTGGTGCTAGTCGTTAGCTGTCTGTTACTTTGATGGGTTTCTAGGACTAGGAGAAACTAGGAGGTGACCTTTTTTGATGTGTGTGACTTTGTGCTTTTTCAGTGTAAGCATCAGACAAAAATCATCGTTTACTGTGTAGTTAAATGTAATTAAGTTACTTAGCACTAATGCATACGTCTGTGGATGCACTTTTCTAACTAAGCTAGCCAGTGTTCACTCATAACTTCATGATTACCTCTAACTCAAACGTGACTTCTGGCTTAAAGAAGAAAAAAAAATGCATGGTAACATAAACTCAAAGCTTCAGCAGAGCACACACCAGTTGGTGGAGGTCACAACATATGTCCGTTTTTTGTATACAGCCCATTACCTTTTATTTCCTTGTTTACAGCCTTTATGTGGTAAGCCAAGTGGTGCTGCAGCTGGCTGAAGGTCATGTTTATAATGCACACATGAGAAAAATCAATCTGCTCATGCAACTTTCAGAAATAAACTTTCAGAAGTACAGTTCTAAAAAAGGTTCATCTGTTCCTTTAACAGGAACCCAGACCTTGAGAAAAACAAAAGGAATACACTAGGATTTACTTTCCTCTGAATCCCTTTATTCACATCACAGCTGCGCAAGTTCAGTGGGTGCTTACTCACCATCGAGGTAACTAAGATATCCTCAGGGCGCCAGCTTGCAGATGTAGTATTACTGAGAAATACTATTCATGGTAGCACTTTGGCAGGAATCACATTTAGGGGGGGGGGGGGGGGGGGGGGAAGAGAAGAAAAATGGCACAGGATAAATTTTTTTCCAAAAGGTTTAATGGGAGATTTTAGGGTGGGGTGACTGATTGGCTGCTTGGTAGGTATACGCCTGCCAGAACACTGAGTGTAAACATGCCCCAGATTTACTATGGCAGCATGAGCCAAGTCACAAGGCACAAGGGGGCAATGGGGACAAAGGGGCTCGCTTGCAGCTAGGATGAGAAAACCAAAAGGAGGAGAGGGTAACAAAGCTGATATCAATCTCAGACAGAGCTTGGCTTATCTTGCATGCAAGGCACCAATTTATATATTTAAAGAAAAAAAGAAAAGCAAAGCAAAACAAACACCATCTCTGCCCTCAGCTAAATAAAGCTACACAAGAGTGCACAGCTTCAAGGCTCTCTGTTTGACATGATTTGACAAAGGGTTTGATAGCAGTGCTGGAGCTGACAGAAGCCGACAGAAGTCGCTTCAAGGTCATCTCAGCTCTGCTGCTCCCGATGCTTAGGCGAAGTGATGTTATTTCATCGCCGGTGACTACTGGCAACCAAAAGCAGAGCGGCTCTGATCTGATCTCTACTGCTGTAGTTTACCTGCCAAGTCAGCACAGA